CAAATCTTTAAATTTTAATAAATTTACTTAAAAAGACTTTTTCCTAAACAAATTTACATTTCTTTGGCTTTCCCCTTTAGAATGGAAATAACCACGAATTGCCAACATACCAGCATATTCACCATTAGCCCCACTAAAAAACTTGAAATAAGTTTGATAAAAGAATATTTCCTTTTAAAAAAATTTTGAAAATAAAAAAATAGGAAGACTGATTAGGTTAGACTGAAAATAATTTCAGTTTCACTCTCTTCGCCTTATTGAATTTTTTACCCCAAAAATTTGACTAGCTCGGAGATATTTAAAAAAAGTGACTCGCTAGTGACTCACACGGAGATTTGTCCACTGGTTAATTCTGCACTCGGCATGTCTCGACAAGCTTTCAGAATAAAACAAAAGCTGAAAGGGGACGGGGAGGGGGAACGAGAGCTTAAACCAAAATAAATTCTAAAGAAGAATTTCCTTAAAACAGAAGTTAATCCATTTCAGAATTCTAAAGTTTAACTTATCCATAAACATTAAGAATATTTTCAGTTAAATTCATTAAATTAAAAAATTGAAAGTTGTCTACACCTCATGAAAATTGTCTTAATAAATAATTATTCACTATTACCTATTTGGTTGTAAAGAGAATTTATCATAACCAGTAAGTTCACAAAACCAACGTTCCAAATCATTAAAAACCTAACAAAAATAACAATTAAACTAATTAATTCCAAATTACTTTAGAATATCCTTTTGCTTGTTCTGTAGGTACAAAAGGGTGAATATTAGCTAATTTTGGCCAACTTATCTTTAAATAATTTTTTTAAGTTTAAACAAATTTTTAAAAAATTTACAGGAATTAATTCACAACTTGCATTTAATTTCATTGTACAAGAACCGAGGGGAATCTATAATTTCAAAAATTAAATTAAAAATAAAATTATTTTAACCATTGAATGTACAAGTGAGAGATCTTTGTTTTCAAGTCTTTTCATGTATCTTTAAATAAATTAGGTATTTAAAATTAGAGACCGGACTGGGAGTGTTGTACAGGAATCTAGATCTCGGAAAATACCGATTCTCGATAACCGTGATTCTCGATCGAGAACTCGTCCGGTCCGGTGCTATTTAAAGTTATTAATAAAAATATTTTTCGTTTGGAAAAGTTTGTTTTTTGCCATAACAGTTATTTATATATTCGTACTAAAATTAGTATCCTTGCCCGCAAGTACAGAAAAATAGAGGTCTGGGCCCTACCATAGGAATAAATGAACTTATGACGGCTTACAGGTTCAATAATAAACTCGTAGGCTTAACTGATTTCAATTTTAAAATTTGATAAAATTATTAAAAATTATTCACCTAATAATCTTAGTTTCACTATGATAACTATTAAATACATGTCCAGTTAAAAAAGGCGAATGTCTAGAATGTAGAGAATTACCAATTAAAGGTGTTGAAGTTTCCATTAATTTATTTTTAATTTCTTTCTAAAAGAATTTAATTCTTACTTTAATAATAATTACAACTAAACATTGGCCAGGGTCGGGTTTTCAAGTGGCGGTAGCCCGTAAAGCGAATATTTTATTGAAGTCTACTTTGGGGTAGTGGGGGGGGAGGTTCAGGGGTCAAACCCGTTAATTTTTTCCTCACATTAAAAAATGTATCGGCACCGGTTCTTGTCTGAAAGACATCCCATGGTCTTTGTAAGAAAAAACCATGGATACCAGTCTCGACAATAATGTCGAGTTCTGATAATAATTTAAATTTACCTCACAAATATTAATTCCAAATAAATAGAGAATATCATAAATATCACAAACTTTTTAAAAATCATTTAAAAAATATTTTTCTAAAAATACTTTTAGTTGTTTCATCCAACGAAATACCGATATAACCATCATTATAATTTCTAACATTTATTCTTTTTTCCTCACATTTCAAATCAAATAATTGCTTATTTAATGGAAGAATTTTTAATGTATCGAAAAAACATTTATGGACAACTTGAATTCCATTAGCTTTTAAGGCTTAAAGAATTAATTTTTAATTGTCTAAAGATAAATATTATATTTTGGGTATCTATGTATTAAGAGTCCATCTCAGAGTATCTACACCGAAAAATCGTATCCAAAGTAGCGATGACCCAAAATACCGAAACCATATGATTAACACTAATTTTTTAAATTTTATTATAAAACAAGGGAAGATTGTTCCAAAGAGGGAAGTTTATTTTAATCAAAATTTTCATTTGATCAACATCAATTAATTTCTAAGGGGATTTTTGATTGATAACTAGATGATCGTATCACTGTCGTTTATCAATTTTTGATCACTCTCTCAATTGATCATTACTCGGTTTTCGATTCAAAAGTTTTTTAACAATATTTTCTATTTTAATATTTCTCAACTTTTTCCTATTTTGTATAGAGTTTTGTTTCTAAACAGCTCTTTTTCGGGCCAAAATTCAATGCCCGATTCGATCTATCGAACCAAACCAAACCGGGCCAGAAACCCTAATTAGATTAGCAAAAATTCTGAACTAAACAAAATTTCAAATTACTTTGCGAAAGAAATGATGTAGCTTTATGTATTATTTTGGCAATATAAACTAAACGATTGGGTCCATGATAGATTGCATACCTTAAAATATTCAAAAATAATTTTTTTTAATTCTCTTTCGATATCTCTCCGTCAAACAATCTAAAAAACAAACATTGCAGAAATATTAGCAGGAAGTGCTTGAGCAGTGCAAATATTGGAGGTTGCTTTATCTCTTCGAATATGCTGTTCTCTAGTTTGGAGAGTTAGACGATAAGCAATATTTCCCTGCTGATCTCTAAAGATGTGAAAAAATAGCTCAAATAATTTCCCAATAGCACCTAGAAACTCCAACAATCCTTCCAGGCATTTGTCTAGCCAAAGCTAAATTGGCAACAGACATGAAACCAGCATGAGGCCCGCCATAACCAAGAGGAAGTCCAAAGCGTTGAGCACTACCTACTGCAATATCTGCACCCAAATCCCCGGCAGAACGTAAAAGTGTGAGAGAAAGTAAATCACAAACCATTATAACGAGAATCTAAAAATTAATATAGAAGATTTATACTATAAGTATAAAAGGATGTTTGTGCTTATTCACGTGCATTTTAACTTTTCATAAGGGATGGGCCCTCACACATTTTAAGAAGCGTTAACGAAAATCGGAACGCGGAAGTGTAAAAAAGCAGAATGGCAAAACATCCCAACCAAGCTTTTCATTTGTGAAAAGGAATTCTTGCGCTCTCGGTTTATCAACATTCCCGACCCATATCATCTATTATTTGTGTTATTAACATTTTATCTTACTCTTGGCATATTAATGTCCCGCATAAATCAACCCAGATGGTCATTATTTAATTATAAGTAATCATATCTAATCTGACCGGACCTTTGTATTTGCCCCATTTAATTACCCTACTGATTTCGGGACCTACGTCTATTGGGTCTTGGATAATATATTGTCCAATTGGAATAGGTTCGTCCCGATATGTCTGCATACCATATGTATTTAAATAATTTGGTTAATCCTCGAAAGAATTCATAACCAGTGTGATTTCAATAATTTTTTCAAAACTATCTATTCACCTTTTCTTTATGTGCGCATTGAATTAATAAATCCAAATCTTCATAAATTAACCCTTCTGTGTTGGGATATTGTAAAATAATTGCAGCAACATTATCTACAAACTTGTTATTAACACTTCTTTCATTAATATCCAATGGTTGAAAATTAATATCCATTGGTTCTGAACGTGTAGCCATTACACCAATATTTTGTGGATGTAATTTAGTATCATAAAGGATTGCTGTAAATAAATTTATTAAAGTTATGTAGAGTTATCGAAAAATCGAAGTTAAGTTAAAGATATCCTAAGATTTCCAAGAAGTGACTACATTAATTATGACAGAAACTTTAATTTTAATATGTATTTGTTCAAGTCAAAATCGCTATTTCTAAGGATGCGCGGAAAATAAAATTCCCGGCAACGGAATTTAGGTAAAGCCTTCTCAGCTTATAACCGACCAAATAAGATTTGCATTTTTCTTGGGTTTTTATGAAATTTTTATTTGAATTTTTTAAATTTATGCCCCAGTGACTTGACAATGAGTATCTGGATACGTGTCCGGTAGTTTCGTTAGAGGTTAGTTTCGTCAGAGGACATTTTCGTCAGAATCAGTTTCGTCAGATGCCTATTTCGTCAGAGAACAATTTCGTCAGAGGGTTGTTTCGTCAGAGATTAGTTTCGTCAGAAGTCCTTTTCGTCAGCAAGGCTCCCTTTTTAAAAATCTAATTACACGGCGGTATTATGACATATAGTAGGTTATTTGTTTCTGGATCGATTTCGGCGGATAAGATGTCATTCGAAAGAGCTCTAAGAACTGAGTCGAATTAGTTGTGGAAGAAGTTTATCCGACATTCCGGGACCAAGTTTCAAACTCCTGCATATTGAAAAATGGTGTAGTGAAGCTCAGTTCGCCGAACCGATTCAACTCGTCGAGCTGAGTCGGTTGAGCTATCATTTATAAAATAGAATTTTTCATCCCAAAAATCAGCTTTTTTAAGCTCTTTCGAGTGAAACCTCATTTGTTCAAATAGATCCAGAAACAAAAAACCTATTATAAGTCAAAAACCGCCGTGTAATTAGATTTTTAAAAAGGGAGCCTTGCTGACGAAAAGTACTTCTGGCGAAACTTATCTCTGACGAAACAACCCTCTGTCGAAACTGTTTTCTGACGAAAAAGACCTCTGACGAAACTGATTCTGACGAAAATGTCCTCTGACGAAACTAACCTCTGACGATACTACAGGGCACCTCTGGATATCATGGTCCTTCGTCCTTCTTAGTTTATGTGTGGATTTTTTTAATTTTTCATGGAATTTTTAACTTTGACAAGAATTTTCTTAATGTTTCAAATTTCTATTTCATCATTTAAAGTTGTTTGTTATTTAATCAAAAATAAAAATTACTAATTTCTTAAACTAAAAACAAACTTCTTTTTTTAGTTACACGAACAGCTAAGGCAATAGCCTCGGCACAAGCAGTACTTTCATCTAACAACTTTAATTGGAATTTATAAAGAAATTAAATTTAAAATTTAATTTACTGAAGCATTTGCAAAGGGTAAACCAGTTAAATCAGATATCATAGTCTGGAAATTTAAAAGACTTTCTAAGCGTCCCTGTGCTATTTCTGGTTGGTAAGGAGTATATGGGGAAGTCCTAGAAATTTAAGAAAATAAAAATTTTAAAAATTATTTATCTCTTTTGTTGGAAAAATCCAAATTTTCATAATAAAGTCACTAGCTAATAAAAGTGTAAAAAACTAATACATTTCTGTTTAATAATTAAGTTCTGTTCTAAATTTAATCTTGTTTGATAGTTGGTTTAGGAATGTTTAGCGATTGCGGATATCTCAAACAAAAAAAGGTCTGATATTAGGAAATCTTCGTGTCGGTTCCTGATATCTGAGATTTCCCAGGAAATAGGGAGAGAAGTAAAAATCTCTCCTAGCCATAGGGAGAGGAGAAAAGAACAAAAATTTGTCCGCAACGTGATCCGCAAAAATTACATAGGGCTAACGAAGTAGGCCAAATTATTTTTTAAAAAATTTAAATAATTAATCACCATCCAGCATTTTGTAACATATTTTTAACAATTACTGAAGGTACAATACAATCTTTAAAATTATTTTTCAATAAATTTTTGATAAATGAATATATTAAATAATACATACCATAAAATCCCATACCTAAAAATTAATAAAATAAAAATAGTAAAAAATTATTTTAAAAATTATTCACTTAATTAATTTTTAATTAAAAATATACTAAAAAGAATAGCTCAGTGTTATGGGTTCAATAGTTATTTACATATAACAAGCGGCAGGAGGTTGTAACTAGGGTTGTTGGTTCTGGACCGAATCGAACCGAAAAACTGAGGATTTTTCGGTTCGGTTCCGGTTATCCGGAGAGTTTCCAGGAACAGACAATCCTACTCGTAACATAAGGAAACTCTGGTAACATAAGAAGCAGACTTATGGACAATCCTCCTACCGAAAGGAAAATCTAAGCTGACAAAAATTGGCCATAAATTAGAAATTGTATAATTTTTTCATTTTAATTAATTTATTTAAATTTACCAATAAAAGTTTTGTAAGGATTATTTAATGATGCAATTTCTCTTAATTCGTCTAACATTTTAGATTCGTTTACACCCTCCTCAGGAATTTGTTTACCCAATTTTTGACGTAAACGAATACTTTCTGGCACGTTTGTGTTGGTTAACTCATCCAAATCCTTTTTAAAAAATATGTTTAAATTACATAAATTAAATACAAAAAATTTTACAAAGAATTATAATCGGACCTCAACTGAGTTTATACACGTGTGTAAACATAATACGATTGAACAAGTTTTGACAAAATTATGATTAAAGTACCACCTTGGAGTTGGCAAGACTACCCTGAGGTTTAATACTGACTTTTACCTCACGCATCTTCCTGGAGTCAATGGTTTCTAGGGACTCTATCTATTCCTTTTTCAATTAATTTTGTAAATCTTTAAAAATGAACTTGAGGGAGGGAGTGGGGACTGCCTAAGTTATATTTAATGAGTTTGTTTCCACATTCACGGTTGGGAGTTTTTATGGACGTGGTCCTCATTTACTGTATTTTTTCCACAAACACAATTGCGGTCCAACTTTATTTTATAAAGTTAAATATTTGGACCCTATCTGAATAAGAGGGCGGTTTGAATTTTTTTCTTCATTTTTTCCTACCTTAATATATAAATAAAGGTCAGTCTTTTCTTCCTCGTTCAATTCCACTCTTTTTACCTGTGGCAAATTCAAATAAAAATAAACAAAGAAAAGATTAAAAAAACAAAAAATGTAAAAAAATAAAACAAAAAGTAAAAAAAAGTTTGTTTACGTTTCACTTTCATATATTTTATATTTTTTTGTAATTTACAAGAATGCGTAAAAAAATAACTAATATTGTCGAATCTAATGAGGTAATTGATTAATACATTATGTTTAATGTTAACACATTTTCAGTACTCACCAGATTTTGAGGTTGTTTTCGGTCTGTAACTCTCTCTACGATTGCTTGTCCTCCTTCTCCCCTCTCAATGCATCCGAAGTACCTGAATTATTCAATATTCATTTTAGACATCTTTCAAAGGAACCTACCAGATCTGCGTTCCCTTTTTTGGCTTTCCTCTCTTATGTTTCTGCTTTACCCAGCAAGTTTCGTCTATTTCAATAATCTTCCCAGGTCCTCCAATTTTTCCCTTATTGACAGTACATTCTTTTCTACAGTAGTTAAACCAATCAACTACTGTGTTTTTATCCAAGTTAAGTTCCTTGACCACATTTTTATTCCGAAAATCTTGCAGCCACATATATATTAATGCCAAGAGTTTCTTGAGTGGAAGTTTACTTTTTTCGAAAAACGATCTATAACGAACGGACTTCTTCTTACAACATTCGTTGCATCTCCACTCAAAATCTTCTTTTTTTTTATTTAATCCCATCAAATTTTCGCAACTTTCACATTTCATTTCGTTATTCAGTAACCCATGGTACGCTAAAAATTTTAACACCCCTATATTATCCAAAGATAATATCCAAAAAAGAGTTATAACCTCAAAATCTGGTGAGTACTGAAAATGTGTTAACATTAAACATAATGTATTAATCAATTACCTCATTAGATTCGACAATATTAGTTATTTTTTTACGCATTCTTGTAAATTACAAAAAAATATAAAATATATGAAAGTGAAACGTAAACAAACTTTTTTTTACTTTTTGTTTTATTTTTTTACATTTTTTGTTTTTTTAATCTTTTCTTTGTTTATTTTTATTTGAATTTGCCACAGGTAAAAAGAGTGGAATTGAACGAGGAAGAAAAGACTGACCTTTATTTATATATTAAGGTAGGAAAAAATGAAGAAAAAAATTCAAACCGCCCTCTTATTCAGATAGGGCCAATATTTGCCTTAAATCCAAGATAACGAAGCATTTGCTGTTTCTCCAACTCTAGAATATATTTTGAAAATTAATTTAGGAAAAATATTTTTTAATTTCAACTAACCACAAGGACCATTATGTCTAAAATCAAGAAAACTAAATTTATCATCATAATCACTTAATTTACCTATCAGAAAAACAATCAGAATTTATTTCCCTTATATTAATATTATTATTTTTAAGAGGAAATTTTTGTATTTTTAAAGAATTATTTTTGTCATTTTTTATTTGTAAAGGAAATGATGCAACTCTGCTTTGATTACGAATAATAAAAAGAGTTGATAAAGTATTAACAGATGAAGTTCTTAGCCTTGTTGAATTAAGTACTCGGCGCATTTTTACAAATCTATTCCTTTAATGAACTTTAAAAATAATTGTTTTACTTAGAAAATGTGATATAAGCAGTGTGAAATATTTTATAACAAAAATTTTATTTTACAAAATTTATTGATAAAAGTACCAGATTGGTGCAGACAAAATTTAACAAAAACGTAAAAATAAATGGAAAAAAATAATAATATCAATAAATGTACCCAAATGAAAGGGAGAATATTCTCGTTTTAATGATAGCTACTAGAGCAAATTTCCCATTCAATCAAATGTTTGGGTCCACACTCAGAAGTTAAACTCCAAAATATCAACACTAAAAAAATAAAATGTGAATAGGAATGCAAAAAATGCAAAGAAAAATATGCAAGTAAAATATGAAAAATAAAATTTATGTATGTTTAAGACAAAATATAATTTAAAACATACAAAACTAAAACAAAAACTAAATTAAAATTTTTAAAGTTTTTTCAAAAAATAAAATGTGAAAAAGAATGATATGCGGGTCAATGAAAAAAATAAATTTACACATTTAAAATCAAAATTAAAGTTTAAAATTTTTTATTTTTTGAAGAAATTAATGCCAAATCAATTTACCAACAGTTAACAAAGTTCTTGTAAAAAATAAAAAGAATTTAAATTGTAAAAATTATAATGCAAATGAACTTTGAAGGAAATAATTATAAATTAATTAATAAAAATAAATAATTAGTGATAAAATGATTGCAGATAAGAATATTAAAAATTAGAGGAAAATATGTATGTTAAATGTTGTCTGATTTTTGTGAAAAAATTTCTTTTTAAATAAAAAATAATGAATGGATGTTTTTATAAATATGTATGAGGGTCAAAGTCAAACGAAATAAATAAAAATTAATTAAGATTAAAGGATAAAAAATATTAAATTGTTTAATAAAAAATAAATATTTTTTAATATTTAAAGTTTAAAGAATAGAGTTGTCGGATTTTGTGAGAATTTACAGTAGATTTTACCCCAACGACAATCTCACCGAAAACGAAAATTTTAAAAAGCCTAGAGAATTGCTCAAATTTTTTTAGAAATCTTTACTACTATTTTATCCAAAAAAGTCAAATTTTAAAAAATCTATGAATCTTAATAATCTCAATAATTCTCGAAAAACCTCGATAAAAATACAAGAATATAGATCGACTTCTCGAAAAAATAACGGGATTTTTCTCTAGTTTTATCTATGCAAGTAAAAAAGCTTTTTTCAAATTTTTTAGAAACCTCTATTACTTTTTTATCTCAAATAATTATTTTCTCTTTTCATTTTATTCATCACAAGTTTGACCCAAAATATCCTTCACAATTAAATTGGTTGAATCTCTCAATAAATGAATACAAAAAAGAATTTATTAAAAAGGGATAAATCCATCAATAAATCCTTTCATTTTTGTATTAGTTCTCTTTAAATCGCTAACTGGGTGGATTGTGGTTATCCATTCAAAAAAGAATCGAGAATGACCATTAACGTATTTTTTTCTGTATTTTTAACAACATTTGTGGATAAATTCTTCAATATATTTTCTGCGCTCTATTTTATTGAAAATTAAAATTTAGAATAAAAATATTTTTTGATTTTCATGGATTTTTGTTTACTAAAAGATTTTAAAAATAGATAAAAATATCAAATATTAAAATGTTTCCACAATTATTATTTTATTTTATATCATCATTTTTAATATTAAATATTAATGTAAATGCTATTGGTGAAAATCCTGTAAATTATTTCAATTAATAATTACATAGATTAAATTTGTATTTAGTGGGATATTCAAAATTTTGCTGAAATTATTAGTGGTATCGGCCAAATGATTCAAAATCCAGCAGAAACTGTTGATGTTCCTTCAGCCCTTATTATGGGAAAATGGTTGGATTTTTTAATTAGCTAAAGAAGAAGCCGCCTGAATCCCTACCCAGTTCTATATTAGAGCTAAGAATGAGCGGAATCTATAGGGAATTCTTTGATTATTGTTGTAAGTCCGGCAGGGCATTATTCTTCGCTCAGCCCTTCAGAATGATTAAACAGGCAACGACATTATCCTCAGATCGGCAATAATATAGGGTTGATCATTATTTGATCAACCGATTGATCCTTCCCTTCGCTAATTTCTTGGATTATATGGACTGGGATAGGTGAATTTAATCACCTATATCAGTCTACATATATCAAACCAACTACCAAGATAATTAATTTTCAATATTCTTTCTGGTCCATTCTTTTGTGAATTAATTTTTAATTCATTTCATTTATAAAATTAACCATAAAAATATTTTTATTTTAAAAAAATTTAAAGGTTTCAAGTCTATAAAGCATCTGTCAGTTTTGACATTAACAGGCCGCAAATGTATTGTGCCGTTAGCTAT